ATGGTTTGTTTTTGTGGAGAACAAAGAGATGAGATATTGGTGGCAAATTTGGATAAAAAGTCGAGGAAACGGAGACATCTCTGACTTATGGAGTAGGCAAGTTCAATAATTTTAGGGCCTAAACTCTCCCATGTCCTAGCCCCCTACCCTACACACCAGGCCTTGTGATCACATAGCCTACCATAACACGCTACCTATTGTTAGTCACTAACAGTCCCCATTTACAGCTATTCACCCTTCTATCCAGATCATTATCAAATCCTTTGTCTATCCAATTGCTCTTCTCTCTCTTTGGGCTCTATCCTATCATTTACTCCCAATCCCATCACCCTCCCTATTTTCTGCATATAAACTGACATTTTCCCAGCTACCATCAATTCTGAGGAAGAGTCACCGGACCTGAAACGTTAACTCTGACATTTTTCTTCACAGATGCTGCCAGACCTATTGAGCTTTTCTTGCAACTTCTGTTTTTGTTCCTGATTTACAGCATCCATAGTTCTTTCGGTTTTTACTTTTAATCAGTCTTCATCGTCAGAGATCCAAGGAACAATCAATATTCCTGCTCAGAGGGTCCATCGGTGTGTAGGCACATTGTCTTCTGGACTCTGAAGCTACTGCCACTCATAGATCTCGGAGGTTGCATAGTGACAGGAAATGTTAGAGGGGTTGTAGGTAACACCCCAGAAGCAATGGTTAAACAAGGAAATGGAAAGCAGGAAGAACATTTTTAAAAATCACCACGACTAGAGAAGTGGTTCTGAGGTAATTGTTGAGAGTTTTGGCCTGACCAATGCCCTGGGCCTGATGGACTTCATTCTACATTCTTAAAGAAGTAACTGGAGAAATACTAGTGATGCATTTGTTTTAATTTAAGTAAAGTGATGGAAAGTGTCATCAACAGTGCTATCAAGCAGCACCTGCTCAGCAATAACCTGCTCAGTGACGCCCAGTTTGGGTTCTGCCAGAGCCACTCAGCTCCTGATCTCATTACAGCCTTGGTTCAAACATGGACAAAAGAATTGAATTCCAGAGGTGAGGTGAGAATGACAACCCTTGATAGCAAGGCTGCATTTGACCGAGTGTGGCATCAAGGAGCCCAAGCAAAACTGGAATCAAAGGGTATCAGGGAGCAAACTCTCCGCTGGTTGGAGTCATACCTGACACATAGGAAGATGGTCGTGGTTGTGGGAGGTCAATCATCTCAGCTCCAGGACATCTCTGCAGGAGTTCCTCAGGGTAGTGTCCACAGCCCAACCATCTTCAGCTGCTTCATCAATGACCTTCCTTCCATCGTAAGGTCAGAAGTGGGGATGTTTGCCAATAATTGCACAATGTTCAGCACCATTCGCGACTCCTCAGATACTGAAGCAGTCCATGTTCAAATGCAACAAGATCTGGACAATATTCAGGCTTGGGCTGACAAGTGGCAAGTGACATTCGCACCAGACAAATGCCAGGCTATGACCATCGTCAATAAGAGACTATCTAATCACCGCCCCTTAACATTCAACAGTGTTACCATCACTGAATACCCCACTGTCAACATCCTGGGGGTTATTGACCAGAAACTCAACTGGACTCACCGCATAAACTCAGTGGCTATAAGAGCAAGTCAGAAGCTAGGAATACTGCGGCAAGGAACTCACCTCCCAACTACTCAAAGCCTGTCCACCATCTACAAGGCTCAAGTCAGGAGTGTGATGGAATACTCCCCACTTTTCTGGATGAGTGCAGCCCCAACAACACTCAAGAAGCTTGACACCATCCAGGATAAAGCATCCCACTTCATTGGCACTGCATCCGTAAGCACCCACTCCCTCCACCACTAACTCTCAGTAGCAGCAGTGTATACTATTGACAAGATGCACTGCAGAAATTCACCAAAGATCCTTAACACAGCACCTTCCAAATCCATGACCACTTCCATCTAGAAAGACAAGGGCAGAAGATACATGGGAACACCACCTCCAAGTTTCCCTCCAAGCCACTCACCATCCTGACTTGGAAATATATCGCCGTTCCTTCACTGTCGCTTGGTCCAAATTCTGGAATTCCCTCCCTAATGGCATTGTGGGTCAATCCACAGCAGGTAGACTGCAGTGGTTTAAGAAGGCAGCTCGCCACCACCTTCTCAAGGGGCAACTAGGGATGGGCAGGAAATGCTGTCCCAGCCAGTGGCAGCCACTTAGAGAAAAAAAAATTCCTAAAATCCCTTGATTCAAGTTTGGTCCTTTTATAATTCCAACATGATTTTTTTTTAAAAAAACGTTAGTAATGGAACGTGGGTGAAACTGGATTGCTAATGGCTAGCTGCCCTTGAGAAAGTGGTGGTGAACTGTTGTTCACATGTTGGTAGACTCACAATGCCATTGGGGAGGGAGTTCCAAGATTTTGACCCAGCGACAGTGAAGAAACGCAAGCCAACCTTCCATTCATTGACTCCATCTACACTTCTCGTTGCTATGGAAAGGCAGCCAAATCATCAAAGGCACCTCCCACCCTGGTTATAATCTCTTCCAGAAAAGATATACAAGCTTAAACACCTATACCAACAGGTTCAAGATAGCTTCTTCCCCCTGTAATTAGACTGTTCAATTGACTTCTCAAATTTCAAATCTAGCATTGATCTTGTTTTTTGTGCACCTTCTCTGCAGCCATAACTTTGGATTCTTTGCTCTGTTCAATCACCCAGTGACCTTTGTACAGTAACATCTGCCTGTACTGCACACAAAACTTTTCACTGTACTTCAGTACATTACAATAATAAATCAAATCAAATCGAAATGGTGATATAGTTCCAAGGCAATTGGCTTGGAGGGTAACTTGCAGGTCGTTGTGTTCCCACATATCTGCTGTCCTCGTCCTTCCACATGGAAGAGTTTATGGGTTTGGAAGCTGCTGTCTAAGGAATGTTTGCTCCAGAGTGGAAATTTGACATTTGCCAGAGATAATGGATTGCTACGTACTGGTTAAAACATTAAGAAGAAAATATTTCACTTCCAGACATTGTAAAATACTTTACAGCCAATGAAGTATTTTTGAAATGCTGTTGATGCCTTTTGTTGTGTTCAAGCCTCTGGATAAGTCTTGATCCATGACCTTCTGACTCAGACAGCTCATCTCTGTCCAGGAGCTGTTCATAAAAAGCACTGGATTAAACTACTGACAGCTGGCAAAGTAGATAGTGGAACCAGTGCTGAATTGAAATCTGGAGAAGCAACATTAGTGATTTTAGTTATTGCTTGTTTAAATGGTATCTAATCCCCAAATTTGACTTAAGCACAAAATCCAGCCTGACAATCCAATGCAGTTCTGAATGAGGGCTTTATCCCACCTTCAGTGCTTTTGACATGTTTTGTCACACTATGCCCATCCACCATCACTTTTCTTCACCTTAGTTAATACCCTTACCCATTTCATCCTTGCTGGAGCAAGATCTCCTGGAATGGCTCATCTTTCCATGTCTTTTTCAGCCCTTACTTTGTGCCTCAATTTACAATCTTCACACTTCCACCTCCTGCAATATTATCAATTAAAGTATGAAAGTTTACACAAGTATTGAGAACAACCAGCTTTATTTCACAAACCCAACATTAACTTGTGAAATCCCATCATGAGGAGCCAGAACATTCTGCAATGTGTCATTGTCCATAACTGACTAACATCCACACAAACACCAAGCTAACTGCTTACAATCTCAAAGTTTTTATGAATATCTTTAAATTTCACAACCAGTTCACCACAAAGACTGCTTACTTCTACCTTTAAAAACATTCTGTCTTAGTCACCAACTCACCCAACAACTGCTAAATTTTTATCCATATCCTGACTTCCCACTTTCCCATACCCTCTCCCTAACCTCCAAACTGCAACTTATGCAGAATTCCTCTGTCTGCATTCATATTTCAGTAAATCTCTTATCAACTTCTACTGGTTTTCCATTTCACAAAGCATTAATTTCACAATGTTTATTTGTAAATCTCTCCCTGTTTTATTTCTTTTTAATTTTGAACACCAGTTCATGTCTTTAACTATAGTTCAGCCCACTCTCCATGACACTCCTATTATGGAATGACCTCCCTCAGCATCTCCAGGTTAGTTCATATACCTTGCTTTAAAAGCCTTCCTTAAGTGTACATTTAAGCAGTTTCAGAAACATCCTCAACCCTCAGTACTCTAGTGCTCACCCCAAAGCAAAATATAACATGTACCTTTTTGCTATAATAGTCTATATAAATCTAAATTATTTAGATTAGTGCTATGGATCATAGCAGCATTGTGAAGTTGTACATGAAGGTGAGTGCTGCACTGAATGCAAGTTTACCAAACATTCAATCCCCAAATCCAGAGAGTGGTCAGTTTATTTTAATTGGTTACAGGTATTGGCAAGTTATATAAATTGAAAATGGAGGTGCAATGCTTGAAAATTCAGGCAAAATAGGAAATGCAAGGCCAACGCCAGACTATTTTATCCATAGCCAATTATTGTGGTTCAGTTACAAGTACTGACATGTGAAAATTTTAAATAGGATCGGAACAGATCAGCCATAATCTCATTGAATAGCAGAGCAGGTTCAAGGTGACAAGTTGTCTACTCCTACGTTTCTAAGTTAAACCTATTTGACTGGACATCCTCGGGACAGCTGAGTTAACTCAAGGACAAGGAATCTGTTCAAAATCCATTCAAAACTCCACAAACCTGGCTTTGTAGAGGATCATGCAGGAGCAGGGCTACGACTAAGTGCTCAGATTCTTCCCATTTAGATTATTTTTCAGTGGTCCAAAATCAAAATTTCAGGAAATAGTTTGAGGTAACAAGAAGCTCAGTCCTTACAAGAATTTCATACCACAGCACTGTGCTACCTGTTTAAGTTCCTGTCAGTCACACCATAGGAACTAATGGTGGATGAGAATCATTATTTTATACCAGTTATCCAGCCAACAATGCTTAAGTGTGCTTCATAAACTAAAGACTAGAGTAAAGTGCACACATGGAGTTTCAAGAAAACTTTTGACAATGAGCCTTTAATCAACAAATCCAAACAAAGGCACTGAACATCTGTAACAAGTCCCAACCCACTGAAACTTTCACATGGAGAAATGAAACAAAGGATAAATTCCACACTCCTATCAGGGAACCATGTCGACTGAAGAAATGTTATGCCCCTTTGTGCTGACCCTGCACCTCCACCCCCACCACCTTTGTCAACAGCCATCTGTGAGAATGAGTAACGAAATTTATCTCTATGGTTAATACAATTAATAGAGGTACGAGTAAAGTGATACACATTTGTAACAAGGGGGTAGAATCTCTCCTGTGAGCTTTTGCTTGATGGAAAGTTCAAAAGGCATGACAGCCTTCATTACACTTGAACAAGTACAGAGTGGCTCTGTCTTAGGAAATTTAATTGCTATTTCTGCATCCTTTAAAAGTTAAGGAAAATATTAAAGCATGGTAAGTGATGTATAAAGAAAAATAAATATTGTATTTAAAAATCTAATAAGCGTTGCAGTATAAATGCCAGCCAGATGTACATGTTCAAACAACTGGCATAAAAAAGTTATGGATATAATTTGCTAGAAATTTTAAATTAGTACAAAATTAAATGTATTAGAGTGGTGTGAGAGAGAGAAAAGGGAACAAGTTCCTTTGAGGCATAGAGTAAGAAAAACAACTATGAAATATGCAGGTTCCCACCATGTTTGATGGAGCAAATTACCACATTGAAATTTTCTGCTCATTAGTCAAACCCTATAAAGTTGGGTTGCATTTATTTTGGCAAATTAGCATGGCAGAGGAATTATGCTGGGTCTTCAGTCTATTGAGACAAACAAAAATATCCTTGTCATGAGCTTAAGACTGTATAAAGCTGAATTCTTGGCTTCCTTTTGGTAAGAGAGACTTCATATGGCCTTAGGATGCATATGTCAAACTATTAATTAAGAGTATCTTTCTTTAAAGGTGACAATTTCACAATACTTTCAAAAGGTTTAAACTCAACAAGATATAAAAAGGCAAAGCTGGATTATTATAAATCAGTGTTTTCATAGGTGTCCTTTTTTATATTAAAATTGTGGTTCTAAAGGATTAAGGTGAATTTGGCCAATTCTCATCCCCACACCTTTCAGCATTTTATACTGTACAGCTAGCCTCATAGCACAATTGGAATGCAACAGGCAATCCTGTGATTTAATTGAAAAATGTAGCACAAAATCCTGCCGGTGCTTTTGAAGGAGTCAGTTTCTAAAGAAAACAATAGAGTCTTTTGTAGCTGCCAGCAAATAGTCACAATGTTGTGCTCTCTTAAACTGACTGGGCTCATTGGAATCCAGTTTGCTCCCATCATGTTTCTTTTGGTGGCTAGATTTTCTGCCATGGTGAATATGGAGGAGGAGCACTTTCTATTGGGGAGCTATTTGGCACGTTCATCAGCTGCCCTGCATGCAGCCGCTCGTTCACTCGCAGCTCACACCCATCCTGGAGCATCCGTATAGCAATGCGTGCAATATTTCGGGAATCATCCAGCCCACAGTGAGGCCTCCCTTCGTACTTCATTCCCAACTTTTCGAGCATCGAAGTGAGTTTGGTCTGAGTCCTGGGAACCTGCGGGCAGATGACCAGAGTATCTATCAAAAATAGCCGAGTGTAACAGCCAAAGACAAATTTGTACAACATGGAATTTCGAACATGGTCACTCAAGCTTCACCAAGAGTTTTAGGGAAAGCTGATGCTCGAGGTCAAGTAGAATTTTTTTTTTTTAAGTTGCAGAATCAATTCAATTTCTTGAAAAATGCAACAATGCAAAAAATTAAAGACGAGATTTGCAGCACTAATCAATTATGTAGGTGATTCATAATATTAGCAGAATCAGTTACAATAAAATCGGTCAAAGTTAGCACTGAGGAAACTATCAGATTGTCATAAAAAAAACTAATTCAATTAATATCGTTTGGGAAAGGAAGCTTTCCACTTATACAAGGACGTATATGCAATTCCAGGCCCACACCATGATGTGGTCGAACCTTAACTGACTTTGGAATAGGCAGGAGAGCCATGACAACATCAGGGCAACAAGGTTAACAAGTGAAAACCGAAAGAACTGCGGATGCTGTAAATCAGGAGCAAAGACAAAGTTGCTAGAAAAGCTCAGCAGGTCTGGCAGCATCTGTGAAGAAAAAATTCAGAGTTAACGTTTTGGGTCCGGTGACCCTTCGTCAGAACTGAAGAAGGTTAATAAGTGCCTTGGCAGTGATGATCGCAATTGAGAATGGGAAAAGAAAAAGCTGTGGATGCTGGATTGATTAAAATTTCCAAGACTAATAGATTGTTTTTCAGCCCCCTCCCGTCCAGGCATGGATGTCAAAGGATATTCTTCAAAGGTGGGTAAATGAAATTAAGATACAGATCAATCGTGATCAGATTAACTGGAGGAACAAGGTTAAGGGGTTTGCTGGTCTGTTCCTCTTTGTGCAGACCTGAGACAGCTGTATAACAATGGCCTTTTCAACTACACAGGTGACCACTGTAAATACTGTCAGTGATTCCACCAACAGTACCAATCTCTGCAAATGGACATATCTTAAAATCACCACACAGCCCTAACAGTTAAAAACTTGCTGTAGTTGTTCAAAAAGCAGCCCTTTTCACACGTTTCAAGATCTTAATTTTTATCTCAGGCTAAGGTCATGGATATAAAAAAAGTATGTTACCTTGAAAACTACTAAACACAGAATTAATAGTTCACGACTGGATTTCTAATTACAGCTCAAATATGAAGTAACTGGTCAAGGTTTAGCACAGTTGTGTCCTCAGTATAGATCACTGTTACTCTTACAGCTAAATCAAGGGCCCAAGCTTTCCAAGATACATATGCCACATTCCATCAATCCAGTGAGAATTTGATAGCATTTCAGAACTATTTGGAAATGTAAACTATCTTTGGGAAAGCCAGTCTGCAGATTTTCAGAATGCAGACCACTTACGAAATTGGTGTCTCTACTCCAGGATCAAATTCACTGCCCACCCTCAACAACCTTCCCCAGCCCCCAGTAGACACCAAGACCCATCATTCTCTTCATCCAGATAGCCACCACTACTGCACAAGTCAGTTGCTCCTCCCTCTTATCAGAGCCACGCCAGGTTGATCTTCTGCAATTTGCCTGCAAGATGCCTGTTGTTCTCAGCAATTTCACGTAAACATAAGTTCAGACCCAACAAAGGGGCCATCTCAGGCCAAGCCAGACATTGAGATTGGTCTCTCCTCAGCCCCATACCCCCAAAATTCAGTACACCCAAATTACTAGGTTAGTGTCCTTACACTGGACCAACACAGTTTACAGAGCACCCTGTAGGGAAACATATAGTTGGCCTAGGACAAAACCTGCAGCATAAATGCAGACTAATGCTTAGCCCACTGCTCCCTGATTCGTGTCAATGGTTCAGATTCAGCAACGTTCCGAAGGCTGAGACCAAAGTTCCTATTGTACCTGTTTTAAGCACACAAACTGTGCTCTTAATTGCTCTCTTTCAATGCATCCATCCCTGCCTTTACATGATGAAAGCACCATGTTGTAGAATGTAAGCCGCAAGTGAGGTCTCCAATATGGTTGTTTCAATAATGATCTCTGTCCACCCAAATTTATTATTCTAATCAGAGATAGTAAGAACTGCAGATGCTGGAGAATCTGGGATAACAAGGTGTAGACCTGGATGAACACAGCAGGCCAAGCAGCATCAGAGGAGCAGGAAGGCTGACATTTCGGGCCTAGACCCTTCTTCAGAAGGGTCTACCAGTTTTTTTTAAACCACATTTTTCTAAAGAAGGGTCTAGGCCCGAAACGTCAGCCTTCCTGCTCCTCTGATGCTGCTTGGCCTGCTGTGTTCATCCAGCTCTACACCTTGTTATCCCTTTATTATTCTAATGTTTTATTTTCCAATAGCAAGAACAGCACAATATGCTTTAAATTAGTGAGTGCATTAAGTTTAATATCAGTATCCATTTTCTGAATCTGTAAATAACAAACATCAGGAGTGCCCAAGTGTTAATGTCATCGGTATGGCAACTTAGCACAACCATGTATCAGCGAGATATATTTGAACTGTTTACAATTCCTGTTCCAATAACACTGCTGATACCAACAGATCTTGGCATTTAGATTTATCTGCTTTTGAGATTAATGTAATTTTCAAATCTCCACATCCTTAATTATCAAACAGTAAAAAAAAAACCAATTTGAAATACGAGAACAAATGGGACTGATTTGTAAGGGTTTAAAGGGATGGACGCCAGGGCCTGGAGCGAGACCGTGAGTTTTGAACATGTCTGCCTTTTAATAACAAAATCTGCACTTAATTTTACCACTGGATTCATAACACTAGGCGAAACAAACTACAAACCTTGTAGAAGTTACCATAACTTTTTCGAATGTTAATCCATTTCTTTGCAAACCGTGGATACTCGATGCTGCTAAGGTGGCACTGAACATTCAGGAACTTACTCATGTCCCAGGAGCTAAAATGTGGGGGGTGGGGGTGGGGGTGGCGGTGGAAATAAATTGCTATATTGAATTAGTCAGTCACACAGAGAAAACCAAATTCAAGTGCTTCTCAGTAGTAGATACAAAGCAGACATGCAAAGTTAAAGACATATCCAACTGTTTTTTTGGAAACGCAACTATGAATTCCAGATGTTTATTAAAAGGAGGTCAGTTATACCGTTCTGGATGTTAGACCAGCAGAATAATTTTGAGGAAGAGTGCATATTCAAAAACTTGTAAGGTGTTTTATTTCTCTTTACCAACAATAACTTTACATCATGACCAGGATTCTTAATCAGACATGATAATGGGTTGAATGGCCTATTTCTGCTCCTATGCCTTATGGTCTTATTAGCTCTATACAGTATTTGCCTACTGCAACAAAATACCATTCTGAGGTAGTTCTGGCATTAAAGGTACACTGGCTGCCCAGCTACAGGTTAATTCATATTACATAAATTAGAATAGGAAAAGTAAGGTAAAAGTGTCATTGTCCCAGAGGCTACTCTCTCATTAAAGGTAATGAATGAGAGAGAGTGAGATGACTGATGACGGTTTAACCTGAGGGTTACCATGCCTCAGTCAAGGAGCAAGGTTAAGGAGAGTCCATAGTAACATCAACCAGTGTGGAAATTCAATCCATGTTCTTGGTCTTGCTCTGCACTGTAACCCAGGTGTCCAGCCAACTGAGCTAACCGACCCTCTACTAGAATAATTTGTGCAAATTAATTAACCAAGCCAAACTGCATTGTACATTAGCAGACATACTAATTGAAGCTTTTTTTTTTGAAAATGCAATTTCTATGGCAAGTTAACAAAGTAAGTCAAATAAATCAAATCATGCATTCCTCTCGTTTACATTCTGTTTCTTCTGAATTAATGTCAAAAGTTACATAACACCAGGTTATAGTCCAACAGGTTTATTTGAAATCACAAGCTTTTGGAGTGGGCCCTTTGTCAGGTGAAGTTTTCAAAAGCTTGTGATTTCAAATAAACCTGTTGGACTATAACCTGTTGTCATGTGACTTTTGACATTAATTCAGAAGAAATCTGTTAACTTCACCTGACAAAGGGGCAGCACTTCGAAAGCCTGTGCTTTCAAATAAAGCTGTCGGACTATAACCTGGTGTCATATGACTTTTGATCTTGTCCACCCCAGTCCAACACCAGCACCTCCACATCATGAATTAATGCCAGCACGATGGTTTATTTTATATATTTTACAAGGGTCTAATACATACCCATCAGTTAGTACTGCATATCTGCATTTGGTTCCAAGTTCCTTCTCTCTCATCCAGTCAACCACTTGCTGAAGAACATCTGGAAAACTCCCTGCTTTGTCAACCATTTCCTGGAATAAACAAAGCATGCACACTTAAGGGGGCTGAAATATGAACCTTCATTTAAAGCATGATTGCAGAACTCACTTCTTACTTTAATATCAAGACAAAGGAGGTCAAGACTAATAGTTTAAAGTTTGGGATTTGAAGCAGATTGGAAAAGGGGAGTAAAAGAAACAGTCATGTACTAGATTTCAATCTCCAGTTCTAGTTACACAATCTGTGGCTACATTTATACAATTATTGATAAACCATTTCTATTATTAATGTGGTCATAGAAAATATAGAAGGCGAATACAGGTATACAAGTGTGACAAAAAGGTGACAAAAGGAGAACCACACTTTGCTACTCTACCAATGTTCATTACAAGAATTTTGGCAACTCTGAATAATCTGTGATCCTTTGATAAATGCACTACTTAATATATCCAAGTTCATAGAGTGAGACTATGACTGAGGTTTTGTGGCCACAAACGAATATGTTTTAAATATCCTGCTTTGAAAATCAAGGAATGTTTTGAAAACACAACACAAAAAAAGTGCAATTTTAAAAATGTGCTTTTTTTTATTGTCTGTAGTTTCAAATCTCACAACTGCTTACTTTTATTATGCACTATTAAATTTCAGTCATATCTTCTACATGTGGAAAACAAATTTTAAACAAATATCTGACATTCAGAAGTTATTTTAAAACCAAATGAAACCTGAGCAAATTAAAATGATTACCTGTGTGATGCCTGTGAGTTTGGTACAAAATTCTGTAAGCTTGGGTTTCAGTTCTGGTCTGACATATTCCTGGAATGTATCCTCCTTGAAAACAGTAAAATAAAAAGGATTTTTTGTTAGTACTTCCAGGGACCCTGTGAAATCTTTCTTCACACTGTTAAGAGAAAAATAATGTTTGTATTTATAAAGGACTTTTTACATCCTCAGGCTGTCCCAAGGCCTTTACAGCTTTCGAATTATATTTTGAAATGATGCATGCAAATTCAAGAACTAATTTGTTCAGAAAGGTCCATCAAAGAACAAATGAAAAGAATAAAGAACAATGAGATACAAGAAGGTATCAACTTGAACATAAGTTCAATCATTGAGCTATGAAATCAGGAAGCACTTCTTCATCTAAAAGGTGATTAGAAAATTGAAACATGGCCCATAAAATGTTGTGGCTAAAGTTCTCAATAATTTCATCAACTTTACAGTGATTCAGTCCCAATTTCTACACTGATTATAAAAGATTTCACTGGCAAACTGTCATTAAGTAGACCCTGGAATGCAGCTGCACCTTTAGAAAACTAAACATGGCATTAAACAGACACATCTTATGCAAAAGTAGTATTTTGCAGAAGGAACAGCCCAGCAAAATATAACAGCTTTGCAGTAAGATCGCATTTCTTTAAAGAGATTAAGCATCACCTTGGCTTGTATGATAATGTTCTTACCTATGTCAGAAGATTGAGAGTTCAAGCCCTAGAAAATGAGCATATTTGAGCAAATTATCTAGTCTTTTCTCTAGGTACTACAGGAATCTTGCACCAGAGGCAATGTTTTATTTGTAAATTCTTGTTACAACATTTTCCAACTTAACAGAGACTGCATACCAGGGACGTACAGTGCTTTATTTATGAGAAGGTGAAAGCTCTTATTTAAATATCATGCAAGGTGTTCGGAGCAGATGATTACTTACAATTTCAAGGGTGCGGGTATTCACAAGGGCAACAGGAAATTCAATAATTTCATGCAAGTATTCTGGTGGGTTGTTCTCTTCACACGTTGCTTCAAAGTCAATGACACAGATGTAATCGTAATAAGTATCTGAACACTCTGGTTTGATTAGCAATGTCTGAGTCAGTTTCTGCTTCTTGTAGTAATTTTTTAATCGCTTTCTCAGTACATCCTTCACTCCCCTAAAGCAGTTCAGCAAGACAGCAATGACCGTGAGACATAAACACAAAAAGACAGAGGACAAAACAAATTGGGTAAGAGTGAGACAGACAATAAGTAAAAAATAAACACAAGGAAGTGCCAGAATTGAAGACAGAAAAAGAAAAATATAATTAATAATATGCATATATTTACACCTACATATTTCATCAACAGCAATATATTTGCCTGGTACATCACTTTCTCCAGAGCAATTAATATATTTATAGTTATTTACACAAATATTAGCAATATGCATTACAAACAAAATCAGTATTGTATCATTAAGGTTGAGAATTTGGCTGAAAGAATATTCAAGTAATTGGAAAGGACAGGCCCTGACCTATAGTTCTGTAACACAGAACAAGATGTTTGGGCTCCTAAAACTATGCTTGTAATTTTTACAATTAAAATCCAGCTCAAACTTCTGTCCACTCTAGACACATTAGACTTGACTAAAAAAAATGGCAAAGGCAGCTTAAAGTCAGCCACAATTTACTCATTAGTAATTTACTGTCATAAGGCCAAGTGAAGATCATATGGTTATAGAAACAAGGAAACTCTGGGCATGGGTCTAGTTGGGGGCATACGTGAAACATTCACTGGCTTATTTTCTCATGAGCTGGTTTTGGATTTCAGTGTCTCCACCAATCCCTAATCACCCTTAATGACCACCGACAGTGTAGCATGCATTTATGCAGCACACAGAACACAATTTTTTTACAACTTCTAAAGTACATAATCCTATTGAACCAGGATGTAACAGTTATTTCCAAAGCTTTATTTGGTGTTTTATTTCCCCCAAACTCCATCATTGGTCAGAATGACACATACCTGGTTTCAAGGTGGAGTTCCGCTAGCTTTGTGCGAAGTTCATCGCGAGTCATCCTGTTGATATGGCCATTTGTGACAGCAATTTCTTTGTAGACTGGGTCACTGAAGTCCTTAATGTAGGCAGCAGGGGTAGGTTTCATTGGTAGTTGTTGTCCATCAGTTATATTGCGCTGCTTGACACAAAGGTAATGGTCACAAGAACAATCAGTGACATTTAATAGCTTATGCTGCATGACAGACTAAACTGTTTTCTTTACTTCTGGCAAACTTTGATCACACAACACAGCTTATACAGTAAAAAGCTCCACTACATATGCAAATCATGATTCTAATTTCAGAAGCATTACTTAGAAAGAAGAACAAAAAGGCTGGAAGGAGATGGTTTAAATTGTCATTTTTCCCACCAGGTAGACACGTGTCCAGTGTGGCAGAAGATAAGGTTTAAGAGTGTGCATTTTCACTGCCCTCATGTAAGCTACCTAACTGTAATCTTTCAATATGACAAGATACATCACATGACATTGCCAGATCTATCATTCTCTACCTCCTAAAATAAAACTACTCTGTTTCCACCTTCAATAATGTAAGCTGGCTAGTAGTGGAACAAAAATGACAAATTGCATTGCTTTAAATGATCCTGGCATATACAGCCATATTTTACCACTATCCTTCTCTATGTTTGTTGCATAGAGGCTGGGCAAACGTGTGTCTTCAGCCAAAAAGTACGGAATGATACAATGATCGTTCCACTCAGAGGACCAGACTTCTAAATGAAAGTGAATGATACAATGATCGTTCCACTCAGAGGACCAGGCTTCTAAATGAAAGTGTCTTCTCTCTAATAGTTACAAACCATTGTATGTGAAAAAAATTTCATTCCACCTGCACAGTATTCTGCATAATTTAGCAATGCAGAAGGCAATGTCAAAAGCAGAAGTAATATTTTAAATTGTTGAGGCTTACACCTTCAACAAGTCAGGGCTCACCCTACTCTCAGTATCCATTCCACTTTCTTGTACACCACAAGGTAACAGGAAAGATTCTCAGGACTGAAACAACAAATTCAAGACAAACTAAAAGAAATTAACTAGATCAAAAGAGGCCAGAAAGTTTGAAGTACCAGGATTGTTCAATTGTTTATACAATTGTTCAGTTGGCAAGACTCTCACTACATCAGAGGGTGGTGGGTTCAAGTCTAACTCCAGGACCTAAGCACTAAAGTCTAGGTTGAGACAACTATGTGGCACTGAAAGAGTGCTAAACTCACGGAGGTGCAATCTACTGGATGAGACATTAAACTGAAGTCTCATCTGCCATCTCAGGTGGATAAAAAAGATCCCACAGCAATATTTTAAAGAAGAGCAGCAAGTTGATATCTTGGTCTGTAGCTATCCTTCATGCAACATCACAAAAATGAGATCATCACATTCTGGGAGCAAACTGACTGCTGCACTTCCTACAATGAAATTACTTCCTTTCAAAAGTCATTGCTTACTCTCAGGAGCTTTGGGACATCCTAAAGTCTTGTAAAGTGCTATTCAAACACAAGCATTTCATTTTGATGCAGATTATTTTACTTGAATTATTTTATTCATGAATAAATCTCCTTCAAACTTTGTTTTTGAACACAGCCAATAAGAATGCACTTTCCCTTCTGCTTATAAACAACTCATAACTTTCCGTACTATAATATGTGTTAGTTTGTCGCTAGAACAAGCAGTACAGATTAAACCACTGGAAGAAAAGGCAGCATGAACAACAGCTGCTTTCACAGGAAGTATTACGAGACAGATAATACTGATGAAGGACAAAAATAAATTCCAAACTCAAAGCAAGCAGATTGTCAGCTGATGATGCTCTTCAATTGTAGCAATTTACAGCACAGGAGCTGAAAATTTGATCTTATCTGTCTAATCTGTGGTCTGTCTAAAATTAACCCTATGAACGTCAGAGGCTAATGTAGGTTGCTAAATACTATCATTAAAGGGCAGTGTTGTGAGCAGGAAAAGGGGTTGGTGGAAGCCCGAATCAGAGTGCGAGGTAAGTTCTGTCTCACACTTTATTGGGCCTTGTCACTTCTTGCAATGAGGAATAACAAAATATTGCCAAGGACATCACTAATATTAAAGATTTTGTTTAGGGCTACAGCAATGATATTAAGGTTTAACGGGATGATTTTTTACTCATAAAAGAGTCAATAAAGATGAGGCTTCGACTTCAATGACAATTCACATTAACTAAAAAAAAAAGTATTAACATGCTGCATTATATTTGATGCGCAGAGATTCCAAAGTTATATGGCTTCTTCCCAACCTACCTGAAGTCGCAACAGGATTCAGCTCAGAATGTGTCTAATTGTAAATGTATGAACTGCTACACCACCAGCTGTCATTTTAACCTGACTTTGAGTGATACAAACAAGCGACTTGCTCAACATCTGCCACTTGATATAAAGCATAGTAAGCCAACTCACTCAAAATAGCAGCCAGTTTCAGGATTTAGATCCACAACAGCATGGGATCCAGCCATCTGAGTCTGTCATTAAGACACAAACCAAAATGACTCCAGACTGGGCCACAAGAACCGAGTGAACTGTAAATAACCATACTTTCAACATCTTCTTTAGTGTCAAGAGCTTTTGTAATAAATGTGAGAAACAGACTTGGTGATACCAACGAAAAACATCTGTCAGAGATTTATAAACATTATCTTTGTTCTATGAAATACATTTTTGGGAAACTATCTACTCTGCAGAATCATCCAAATTTGCTGTTGTAATTTGCCTTTTGTAAAATGCTATGTGCGAAGATCAGTTCAGGTATAAACTGATTCTGCCTATGCAATAGCATTACATAACTTTACAACAAGAAAGTTAATTGATGCGGTTTTGGGTACGTATGCTCAATGCACATGTTTAATCAATTCTAAACTGTGGTCTCTTGCCTTGAAGCAAGAATTGAATCTAATTAACAGGGCAACTTGCAACTGTGAATGAAACTTAATTCAGCAGCTTCCTTTTTTTTCTATCTGTCCCTCTTTCTCTACCTCTTGTGCTTGCCTAAAACTAACGCACATAGCACCTTTGCACAATGACATGGCCATCTAAAGAGATAAAGTCAGATCATAGGTATATTTTAGGGTGCATCTTAAAGGAGGATTATGATGTAGAAAGGCAGAGAGGTGTAGAGAGGATATTTCAGAGTTGAATGCTTAAACAACAGAAGCCACTGCTATCAGTGCTGGAGCAATCAAAATTTAGGATGCACACAAAGAAGAGACATCGACAATTGCGGCCTGGAGATTAGACAGGAAGGGAGGTATACAACCATGGCAGGAAAACCTGCTCCTCCATCCAGAGAGTATTACCTGACCCAAAAACTTTCTGTTTTTAAATCAACAGCTTTTCAGTGATTGACTGAGGAGAAGTTATAGTGGCCCAAACTTAAAAACATTCAGGAGCAAATTACTGCAGCTCTGATGAAGAGTCATTTAGACTCGAAACATTAGCTTGCTTTCTCTCCAGGGATGCTGTCTGACCCGGTGTGATCTCCAGCATTTTTTGTTTTCTGTTAAAAATTGTTCACAAAGACAGAGAAACCAATTTTTTTTCTGGAATGTACTAACTAAATTGCCAGATGTTCCCTACCCCTTCATGCCATAAACTTGTGGACTCAGAGGAATGGACAATATCAGTTGTGGCTCAATGATCCTGGAAAACACAAAAAACAGAAGCAGTTGGAGGTTGCCCAGTCCCTTAAACCTGCTCTACCACTTGATTCCCATATCCCTCCGATCCCTTTATGTTCAAGGTCTGCCCCTCTAAACCTTGAGCAAGCATCCACATCTCTCTGGTACTGAAAATTGCAAAGATTCACAACTCTTCAGCCTGAATAACTCTCCCCTGATCTCTACAGTTGTCTATTTCTAGACCCTTCGGCCAAAGGAAACAGTGCCTCAGCACTGTCAAGTGCTCGCAATAAAATGTTTCAACAAGATCACTCTTGCCTCTGTATCAGAAATTGTGGACAGAAATCCCACTTCAGGACCTTGACCATATAATCTAGACCAACACAACTGTGCAGTACTCAAAAGTTCTTATTTAATGACAACCTCACACAAATCAAGTTTGCTGTTATTTAAAAAGCAATCAAATCTACAGAGTATAACTGACATCCCGATGCCCCATAACACTTTACAACCAAACTCTCTTGCAGTGTAGTCACTGTTGCAAAGTAAGAAACATGGCAGTCAACTTGCAGCAACAAAACCACAACCAGCAATAAGATGAATTATTAGGTGCGTCGTAAGCATTTGTAGAGGGATAAACAGCGGCCAGAAATACAGTCAGAACTTTGTTGCTCATTTTCAAATCGTGGTGAGTATATTTTGTGTCAGCCCAAAAGGGAATTAGTGTCTCTTGCAAAAGGCAGAAATTTGAGTCTTGATTGCATTATTCAATCTCCATAGTAGGATTTGAATATTACGTAAAGGTGTGTCATTCTATTTTGAGGCAAATGAGGTGGGTCAGATGAGGTGATTTGCAAAAGGCCCAGTTCCCTTTTGGGTTCTCTTGGTGTTTGGGTCTTTGATTTTGAATGGTTGCGTTCTCTAGGTTTTAGAAAGGGGAATCTCTGGGTTTTAAATTCAGATTTCAAAGGGTTTCCATGTGCATAGATCACTGAAAGTTGCCACCCAGGTTGATGGCGTTGTTAAGAAGGCGTACAGTATGTTAGGTTTTATTGGTAGAGGGATTGAGTTTCGGAGCCATGAGGTCATGTTGCAGCTGTACAAAACTCTGGTGCGGCCGCACTTGGAGTATTGCGTACAGTTCTGGTCACCGCATTATAGGAAGGATGTGGAAGCATTGGAAAGGGTGCAGAGGAGATTTACCAGGATGTTGCCTGGTATGGAGGGAAGGTCTTATGAGGAAAGGCTGAGGGTTTTGAGGCTGTTTTCGTTAGAGAGAAGAAGGTTAAGAGGTGACTTGATAGAGACATACAAGATGATCAGAGGATTAGATAGGGTGGACAGTGGGAGCCTTTTTCCTCAGATGGTGATGGCTAGCACGAGGGGACATAGCTTTAAATTGAGGGGTGATAGATATAGGACAGATGTCAGAGGTAGGTTCTTTACTCAGAGAGTAGTAAAGGCGTGGAATGCCCTGCCTGCAAAAATAGTAGACTCGCCCACTTTAAGGGCATTTAAATGGTCATTGGATAAACATATGGATGATAATGGAATAGTTTAGGTTAGATGGGCTTCAGATTGGTTTCACAGGTCGGCGCAACATCGAGGGCCGAAGGGCCTGTACTGCGCTGTAACGTGCTATGTTCTATGTTCTATGCCCAAGATTTTGGGCAGGGGTATTTTGGGATTTGCAAAGGAGTCTTGGGAGGAACCTCTCAGGGGTTTTTCAGAGGCGTCCCAGTTTGTTGCGGGGGGGCGGGTCTGTTGGGCTTTAAGGCTGCCCTAGTATTTAGGTTTTCAGGATTACCCGATGTCAGAGGGGGTGGGATTCAGGGTTTCAGGGCTAGAGTCTCTTCGGGCTTGAGAGTGTCTGATTTTTGGGTGTGGATCTCTTTTCAAGAGATCCCGATATCTGGGGAAGGGGTCTCTAGGGTTAAAGCAGTACTCCAAGTTTGGGGAGTATTTTTTAAGAGTCTGATTCCCAGTATCAGAAAGGGCTCTAGATTTTCAGGGGATCCTCATGTTGGCTGGGTCTCTGAGTGGGGTTAATATCTGGGTTGGGGTCAGTCTCTAACGGTGGGAAGGAGGAGGGGGGGGGGGAAGGAGGAGGGGGGTGGGGAAGGTGGGGGAGGGGGTCCTCAAGGCGGTTCCACGCTGACGAGATCTCTCTGAGCTGCAGACAATCCTCCTCCGACCCCCGCTGCAGGGCCTCGCCTGCGGCTCCTCACCTGGCCCTGGCCTGAGCCGGAAGCCGGGCCCAGGCCGCTCTCCGCGGCCCTCGGAACATTCTCTTTCTGCTCCTCCTCCATCACCGTTCGCAGCGCCGTCAGCCTCACATACCATCACTTCCGCCTCCCCGCCGCCATGAATGTCGGCCACGTGACGTCACTTCCGAGCGATGTGCCAGTGCCCGAGTCTGCGCACTGGGACCCTGGAGACTGCCAGCGCAGAGTCTGCGCAGTGAGAACCTTCAGGGGGCGCCCTGGAGCTAGTTGAGGGAGACCAGGGAAGAGTGGAACCTCTGGATTGGCGGGGGGGGGTGGTGCTTGTGGTGCATTGGTAGTGCCCTCTGAGTCAGGAGGCCCAGGTCAAGTCCCATCTGTTCTGGAATTAAACAAAGAACTCTGTATGCTGACAGATCTGAAACAAAAAGAGAAATTGCCTGAGAAACTCAGCAGGTCTGGAGCCAAATTTGCAGATAACACAAAAATAGGTGGAAAGGCAGGTTGTGAGAGTGTTACAGTTACAGAGAGATATTGATAGGTTAAGCGTGGGTAAGACGTTGGCAAATGGTGTTTAATGTGGGAAATGCAAAGTTGTTCATTTTGGAAGAGAGAAAAAAAGAACAATGTATTATTTAAATTGACAAAAAAGCTGCAGAATGCCAGGATACGGAGGGACTTGGAGATACTGCGCACAAAACACAGAGAAAGCTAGCCACAGGTAATTAGAAAGGCTAATGGAATGTAGGCCCTTATTTCAACAGGTTTGGAGTATAAGAGTAGGGAAGTCTTACTGCAACTGTACAAATTGCTGGTGAGACCCAATCTGGAGTACTGTGAGCAGTTTAGGTCCCCTGAAGAAATGATATTATTTCACTGGGGGAAGTTCAGGGAAGGTTCACTAGAATGAACCGTAGTCTGGAGAGATTACCTTATCAGTAAAGGCTAAATGGGTTGGTACTGGAATTTAGAAGAATGAGAGGTGATCCCTTGAGTCATAGAGGATCCTTAAGGGGCTTGACAGAGTAATTACTATGAGGTTATTTCCCTTCACAGGAGTGTCTAGGACCAGAGGGCATTGTCTCAGAATAAAGTTGCACCAGTTTAGGATTGAGATGAGGAATTTCGGAAATTCTTGCCACAGAGAGCTGTTATGTATGGCCTTCATGTATATTTATGGCTGAGATAGAAGGGGAATCAAAGGTTATGAGGAAAGCGCAAGAAGGTGGATGTGAGGGGCAGCATGGTGGCTCTGTGGTTAGCACTGCTGTCTCATCACCAAGGACCCTTGTTTGATTATAGTCTCAGGCGACTGTCTGTGTGGAGTTTTCACATTCTCCCTGTGTCAGTGTGGGTTTCCTCTCGGTGCACCAGTTTCTCCTACAATCCAAGTATGTGCAGGTTAGGTGGAGTGGCCATGTTAATATGCCCATTCTGTCCAGCAATGTGCAGGCTAGGGGGATTAGCCATGGGAAATGCAGGGTTACAGGATAGGGTGTAGCTGTGGTTGGGATGCTCTTTAAAGTGTCAGTGTGGATTTGATGGCTCAAATGGCCTGTTTCTGCAGAGTAGGGATTCTGGGAATGTCAGATCAGCTATGATCCTGTTGAATTGCAGATCCTATGGAAATGAGGGGCTGAATTACCTATTCCTGTCCCTATTTCTTATGATCTTACAGTCTGATGGACAGGCTTTGGGGAGTCAAGAGGAAAGTTACTTGCTGCAGGATTCCTAATCTCTGACACAGCCTTGTAGGACTGTGTTTATATAGCTAGTCCAGTTGAGTTTCTAGTCAATGATAACCCTCAGAATGTTGATTTTGGGGATTCATTGATGATAGTGCATTTGGATATTAAGAAGTGATAGTGAGGTTGTCTCTTGTTGGAGATGGTCAATGTCTCTGGCATTTATGTGGCACAGATGTTTCTTGCCACTTGTCAGCCCATGCTTGGATATTGCCAAGATCTGAACATGGACTGCTTCAGTCTCTCAGAGGTCATCGATAGTGCTGAACATTGCTCAATCATCAGTGAATATCCCCACTTCTGACCTCATGATGGAGGGAAATCTGATAACTATCATTCTTTTCCTGAGTGCCCTGCTGCAATAATAATGCTGCGCAATAAAATAATCTTTATTTTGTTTAAGTCTAAAGCTTTGCTGCTGGTTATTTTGAAACGGAAAACAATAAGAAAAATACTAAAGGGGGGGTAAAGGAGTTATAAAAGTTCAAAATTCACAGACTACAAACACAGCCTGGTGTGATTGTGACTGTACGTTATCACAGGAACTGTTGCAATGTCTCATGATCTCTCTCTGTCTCACAACCTCAGATTTAATAAAAATTATTTATTCAATGGAGGTGAGCTAGTGAGCATTTATTGCTCATGCCTCATGGCCTTGAACTAATTGACTTGCTCAACCATTTCAGAGAGTAATTAAAATATAGGTCTTAGTGTGAAATAAATCAAAGGGTATGGGAAAAAGCAAGTACAGAGTACTGAGTTAAATGATCAGCCATGATGGGGGCAGCTGAAAGGGCCAAATGGCCTACTCTTTTATTCTATGCTTCTCCTGTTGTCAACAGGCCTCAGTCAAGGAGGTAGCCTTTGCTCAGGGGGATCCTGACATGGAGGGTTAGAGGCAGCCTCCAGTACCAGTTCAGGGTCTGGTCAGCTTGGTCAACATCAGAAGGTCTTTCTCGTAAGAGGTGAGGAGCGAAATGATGGGCACCACATCAACTATCTTTACTCTTTCTGCCCCATTGGGGGCTGCTTTCCTCCTGGAATGAGAGGGAGACGGGTATTAGGGGAACTACAAGTTGTGGCACAGTTATTACTGTTGGTGCAGGTGGGGAGGTGGCCTGACTGAGTGAGTAGGCAGCACAGAGGGTGTGCAGGGGTAGTGGTGTCACAGGTTGTGGTGAGTGAGATAGAGTGGGCAAGATGTTGTGGCTTTAGGTGGGATGCACTTCAGAGGTTGGTGTGACTCGATGAGCTGAATGGCCTGCTTTCACGCTGTAGGGATTCTATGATATCATCCCTTAACCTTCAATATTGCAGGTAATAAAATGTCTCATCTCATAAAGTGATCCTTGGAGAAATGGTAACATTCTCATTAATCTGCATTGCATCACTTCCAAAGTCTCTATGTACTTTCCACAGTTAGGCTTTTGTGACACAGTCATACTGTCACTACCTCTGAGCCAGGAGGCCCAGGTTCAAGTCCCACCTGCTCCAGAGGTGTGTCATAACATCTTTGAACTGATTGATAGAAAATATCTATCCATTGTGCGGAGCTCAGAAATGTAATTTAAATATAGCCTAACAACCTGGTTAAAAAGGCTACAAGTCATTTGCCCTTTTGATTTATTTTTGTACCAGACTACTTCATTTTGGTGAACTGAAAATATAGATTCCTAAATCTTTTTGGACCTGTGTTTCTAGACTTTGATTATTTTGACATAATCAAATCAATTAGTAAATTGCACTCTTAGTCATAGAGTCATAGTCATTCAGCATGGAAACAGACCCTTCGGTCCAACCAGTCCATGCTGAACATAATCCCAAACCAAACTAGTCCCACTTGCCTGCTTCTGGTCTGTATCCCTGTAAACCTTTCCCATTCATGTACTTCTCCAAATGTCTTTTAAATGTTGTAATTGTACCCACATCCACCACTTCCTCAGGAAGTTCATTCCCCACTTGCAAACCACTGTCTGTGTAAAAAATTTGCCTCTCATGTCTTTTGTAAATTTCTCTCCTCTCACCTTAAAAATGTGCCCCCTTGTCTTGAAATCCCCCAGCCTAGGGAAAAGACAACTACCATTAACTCTATCTGTACCTCCCATTATTTTAGAGACTAAATCCCAGCAACGAGAGTTCAAATGTACATGCTAAACCTTAACTATATTTGCAGTAGTGTTATCACAGACATTAACCTTGAGTTAAAATCAGAATTTATTAAAAAAAAATGTCCATCTATTACATCCAAAATGGGAGATTCTCAATTGGATCATGCATGAGCGAAAGGGAGTAAAGTTTATGTACAACTTGCTTGGAAAAAAAAGTCCAATGGTCCATGATCACATGACATCCTGAAATACCTTAGAGCTGATGAAGAATTTTAGAAGTGTATTCACTTTTCTAAAATAGGAAATGCAACAGCCAATTCGTGCAGGAAGAGCTTCAACATGAGCAATGAGATAACGACAAGATATTCTGATTTTAGCTGTTGGTTGAAGGTTAAATATTCGAGAGGGAGCTACTGTGAGAACTCATTTATTCTCTTCCCAACAGTGCGGTTGTATTTTATTTCAGTCACTTAAAGAACAGGCCAGTTTATCAACTGAAAAACAACACTGCCTACAGTGCAGCATTCCTTCATTATTGGATTATATTGCCAGCCTAAATTATGTCTGCTTCTGGTCTGTATCCCTCTAAACCTTTCTGGAGTGAGCGTGTATATTATTAACTTTATGCTACTTCTTCACACTCCAGTCCATTAAATATAGTTCTGTTGGGGAGACCTTAGTGTACAGCTTTTACTTGTGGGGAAAGGCAGAGAAATTTAGTAAATTATTCACTGGAGCAGAAATGTTTAACTGGGATATAACACAGATAATCACAAATGTGGAATATTTTATGAAATTAAATAGTGAAAAAGAATTTGACTCTGGCAGCTATGAAATCATACAATTGTGTGGGAGCACCACCAGTTCTACTCCAAGACAAAAACCATCCAACTTGGAAATATATCAACTTTCCTTCAGTGTCACTGGGTCAAAATCTTGGAAATCTCTTCTTGACCACGTTGTTGGTATACCAACACCACATGGAATGCAGTGGTTCAAGAAAGCAGCTCACTACCACTAACAAAGGCAATTAGGGTTGAACAGTAAATGCTGTCACAGCAATGCGGACATCCCATGAATAAATAAATAAAAAGAAACGAGACAACAGACGCAGGATTATTACCAGAGGTGCAAGTGGTTATTAGAAGAAACTTGCACAGAGGGTTATTAGAACATGGCTTACCTTACCACAAGTACTGACTGAAGGAGAGACTATATTTTAAAAGGGAAAGGAATAATTATTTGAAAAGGAGAACAGTTGAAGGTTCTGCAGAAAAA